TAGTGACTGCGACCTTAACTATAAAGTGTAATCTCCTCGACAATCAGCACTGCTTTCAATTAGTACTAACAACTGGTGTTGATCTAGCATAAATACGCTTTTTGTAATGGATGGACACTACCACTGCAAAGACACTGATTATACCGGTTAACCTTCGAACCCAAGTATCAGGATGCATTCCTGCCACTTCACTCTCAGGACCCCATAGAGGCGGTCGAGACCATTAATTGCTGAAGATCAGTTTCATCTTGGTGGTCTTACCCGCGACTTCACCGTCGGCTTTGATCACCCCTAAGAATAGCTTTACGACGGAAAACTAAATTGGTAAGTAGTACATATGTTTGAGGGGTAAAGAGGTTCAAGTTCCGTACCTTGACTGCTTCTACGGTGATAGTGGGTTCACAGTTGCCAACGCACGGGACTTCGCACATTTTCTCATCAGAGCTTGGGGTATAGCCGAATATTCTTCGTTGCTTGAAAGGGCTCGCGTCTGTTCGTAATTTCATGTCGACTCCTGGATGTTCAGTCTGGGAAGCTTCCAGTAGTATGGTTGCAAAAGATAAGGATAAAGAACGAGTGTGCCTCCCCTCTTCATGCCTACGGCCCACCGACACCTCCCAAAATTATGTTACTGTCAATAACGATGGGTCTGAATGTCCAATTAAGGTCGGCTAATAAGCATCGTGAACTCTTCTCCGCCCTCCAGAGTCCTTGAGATCGACAAAGCTAGCGTAAGGTTCATTTGCACGTTTTGGTAGTTTTTTGGCAGCTTTTGGGCTGCAAATATCGTATTAGTAGCGTCAAGGAGTTCGCAATATCCATACAGCGACTACGGTCGCAGCCTAAGTTGCGGGTTTAGGCTGTTAAGAGGAATTCAATCGAATAATTATTTGATTAAATTAGCTGGGGATGAAGCCAGACACGAGCGGAGCCCCTGAACGTGTATTGGTGTCCGTTAAGGTTGGCAGAGTACAAACGAGTTAGTCGATCGTGCTCAATAGAAACCACCACTATCAAGGGCGGGGGCTTGCCTACACAGAATTCGGCTTATTCTGACTAAAAGTTCTGTAGCTTCGACCTAATGACAAGACGGGATGATGAAGTAGAACATAGATGGGCTTGGGGCACAGTGACTGGGTAGGCGTTTGGCCCCATCTGACGAAGTTTCTACGTGCTCCGGATTCCTCAGTTGATAAACAGCAGCTTTCACTCAACTCGATCTCAAATTCACAAAAGTACCATATAACAGCGCTAAGATGGGCAGATTACAACCTGTCTCTTAGTTTCGATTGTTGACCTACCACAACAAATGGCAATCCTCAAGGCCACCACAGTCTGAAAGTTCGTAAAATGTATTTCGATGAGAAAAAATCGTGTAAATTTGGTTTCCTTTTCACTCCTCTCTCAGCGCGTGTTCCTGGAAAGTTCGATTCATGCCGACTGCCTATAAAACTGAACTTAGTGTCACAGTGGTCTTTCACTCCCATCTATGTGTGTCTCACGATTAACTCATTTTCCCATCCGAACCGAAGTTCAAAAACTCGGGTCTCACCATCCACAGCAGATTTTTTAAATATCACCTTTACATAGACCTATCGATCGCAGTCTGGCTGTCAGCTTGCCTGAAAATCGGAAACCTTTAAAAACATGGCTTTTAAGGCATAGTATAGACGAATGAATGGATCGACCTCCCCTCTTCTCAGTCGATCGTATTCCAGAGAACTGAATATTAAAGCGGATGCATGCACCACGTAGGCGTATCATGGCTTGCTCCACGCTTCCAAATCAACCCAACCTCGGTGTTCTGTAGAATATACCTGTTTAACATAAGAGCAAAAGAAAATAAGATATAAGCAATGCATTCATCTAGAGTAGGAAGGGTATTTGACATAGTTTGGATGGTCTAATTACTAGAAGCAGGTTACTTACAACGGACTACGGAAGTAGGAAGCTGATACGCCCAGGCTGGGGAGGCTCGCCTCGCGAGGCATCTTGTGAATATCGATTATTCGTACAGCTGGCTGCCCATCCTGTAATCTTAGGCGATAAGAGGTCTGACACGAATTTTGGATTTGGCTGTTACGTTCCCTTCTAGGGCACATCTTTTCTGCCAACGCGAATTTCCTATATCCATTATCTATTGCAATGAAATAATCTTTACTGTTTTCGACCTTCCGTTTTACTGGTGCTGCTTCTTACTTTAAAGCACTGATGGCTAGCCCAAAGTAACATAGACAAAAGCTGGGCTTTTTTAATCGTCCTCGGGCTTATACCGGTGCAAGTTCAAGCTGTATCCCCCGAAACGTGGGAATGTGCCATTTA